GAAACCGAACTAGTTCGAAAATTACCAGATTTGTACCAAGTACAAACGATTTATTCATACCCTGTATTATTTGACTTCGACAGTTTAATACAATGAAGTACACAAAATAATATAACTTTTATTTGGGTATATCGTAAACCGTTAAATTGAGAACGTATTCAATTATACCAGAACTGTTATTTTGTTATTTTTATCATTTTCAATTATTTTTTATTTTGTTTATTACACGATTAATATAATTATTTGATTAATTTCTATTATCAATCAATAAGCCAAACTATGGACAGAAATGAAGAATATTTAATAACTGCTTGAATTAAATACACAGGCCAACAAGGGTTTTTAACCAAGAATCGGACTATACTTTTCCGAAGGTATTTGACGTGCTGAATTCGAATCTGACCCCAGATCACGTCAGGTTTTCGGGATATTCTAACCTAAAAGTACAAAAATCACGGTTTTTGGGCACATTTGAGCTGCACTACTTCTCCCCTTCAAAATTCATTTTAAAGCTTTAAAAAATCTTTATTTGTTACCGAGAAGTCGTCTGTGGAATTTACTGAGTTTAGTAAATTCGTTGATATTCTTAAAATGAGGAGTATTGGATTTTGTTGATTGATCTAATTAATACTCAAAAAAATTAACAATATTTATTGGCAAATCTAAGGCTGCTAAATAAAAATATGTAAAATAAAAAAAGTGTACTTAAATGGTTTATATTGTATATTCATGAATTCATTTTATTTTTTGACTCCCAAAGTAGTGGTTTTGGTCCATAATTAGACTAGTATTTTTCTGTGTATTCTGAACTAGTATGAGACTGGTATATTTCTGACCGAAATCTGACAATTGCCATTTCGTAGGACATCCCCATGTTAAAAATACCAGTTGATTGCATAGAAAAAAGATAGTTGGCTGACTAGTTGGGCATGCGATTCATACTAGTTGTGGGGTAGTTTACATCTGCATAATAGCCCCGACTATGCCATATAAATTTGGATGAAATCTTGCACTTCTTTTTTATATATAAGATGGGAGGTGCACGCCCTCTTTTCCAATACCGCCCATTTTTCTCCATGAGTATGGAATTATTTGATATACCTCTATACCAATTTCCAATACTCCACCACAAATATTTCAAGAGATATACAACATAAAAATTTTAGTTAGTATGGGAGGTGCCACACCCCCTTTTACGAATTCGGGTACTTCACATAAACCTTCTGGAAGATAGCCTGAATATGCCGTATAAATTTGGTTGAATTCGTTGAAGCCGTTATCAAGTTATAAGCTCGCACCAAAAACGTGTACTTATTTTTATACATAAGATACATATGCCACGCCCCCTTTTCCAAATTTGGGCAAACTCCACATAAAATGTCTGCATGATGGCCCGAATATGCTTTATGAATTTGGTTGAATTCGGTCAAGCCGTTCTCAAGTTATAAGCTAACTCACTAATTTTTATATATAAAATACAGGCGCCACGCCCCCTTCTCCGAATTCAAGTAAACTTCACATAAACTATATGCGTGATAGTCCGAATATGCCGCATAAATTTGGTTGAATTCGGTGAAGCCGTTCTCAAGTTATATGGTCACAACAAAAACGTTCTCTTATTTTTATATTTTAGTTAGTATGGGTGGTGTCACGCCCCCTTTTCCGAATTCGGGAAAACTTTGCATAAACCATCTGCATGATAGATCGAATATGCCACATAAATTTGGTTGAATTCGGTGAAGCCGTTCTCAAGTTATGAGGTCACACCAAAAACGTGCACTTATTTTTATATATAAGATTTATGCACTTTATTCTAAAACAAAAATTGTGTAAATCCAATCTTCAAACTGCTGCAATATTTAAAAAAAAAGTCAAGAAGTTACCCTAAAAGCTTCAAACTTCTTTATCAGAATTTAAGAAAAAAATGGGATGCAGTCTTAGGACCCATTAAATTTTAATATAACAGAGTATAAGTAGGTTTGAAATGGCCCAAAATCGAACTCGATTCCAAGAGAAAAATCGTAATGTCGTTGTATTTTTTATAGCAAAACTTCTTCGAGTTGAGTTCACCAGCAGGGATGCCGTTTGGATCTAAATAGATCCAATTGGATACATTTTTAGACGAATTTTTGCGGGATACTTATTTTTTCCGGTCAGTATAAAAATGGATACTTTTTTAAATAGGCCAAAATTTTATATTTCCTATAAAGTTTTTTTCGTTCAAAAATCGATTTTCATTAAAGATGGTAGAAAGCATTACGTTTTCTAAACGTATAAAGAATCGCTACTTAAGCGTGAAATTAAAGCATTTTATTTTTTGTGAACGAAGCAATGAACATATGAAGAGATCTCACCAAAATAGGTATAAGCGCAATTGCTTTAATTAGCTTAAAAGGATGCTTTAAGCAAGATCTTAATATAGATACATATCGTCGTTTAAAGTACAAAACCGCAACAAAATGCAAAACCGCGTATCAAGATAATGCAAAACTGCGTATGTGACGTTGCTTAACTTATTTTCTAGAGAGTAAAAACACTTAAATTTCAAAATGGTTCTCTTTTTTATAAAGCAATCGCATTTCTGGCTAGTATATTTCAGGACGAAGCCAAGAGCTTGTGTGAGCACATCCAATTTTTGGCAGCAAATGTCAGTTACGCGGTTTTGCAGAATGACGATACGCGGTTTTGTACTTTAAACGACGATATATGTAAAGTAAATTATACTCTTTCTGTAGTAATCTCTTTCACATCACATATTTTCATTCAAAAAGAAAGAAGATTTCAATGTGAAACTGAACTGAAAGGACTTTAAATACACTCTAAAAATTTTTGTTTATTTGCGCATATTGAGAGGTAACCGGTTTCCTCTTTTAATGTATGCCAATGTGCAAGCCATGTAATAAAATTAATCATTGCCTGTTTACTTTTACACATAAAATGTTTAAAATAAAGTAATGTTTATTATTAGTTTGAAAATTTTTGCAATTTTAAACATTCTACATATGTGTATTTATGTGTATATTTTAAAGATCTCAAGTTCAAAATCAAATACTGAACATCCTATACGTATATTTATACAGATTCTTGTTGAAAAATAGATACTTTTCAGTAGTAGTTTTACATGCTCTTTTTAGAGTGTACTTGCTATTTATTACATTTACTCTGCAAAATACTTATGCACAAAAAATGTACTTTATAAATTGAAATCACAAATGTTTGATTTTATGCACATGGGGATGGGTTAACTTATGTCTTTTTCATGAAAATGTTTGGTTTTCTTACATGTTATGAGATGTATATGTAAAAAAAGAAAATTGGATACATTTGGATACATTTTTGGCTTGGTCAGGGATACCTTTTCTTGAGACGGCGCGGAAACACTGTTCAGCAGACCTCGTCCGCGTTCTGTGGCAAACTGGGTACTAGGTGAGTGGCTCACGTCCATGAATGTGTGCCCAGAAAATGCCAACAAACGTTTGTGTAGTGGTATTTAAGCGGGCGGCAAGCGCACTTATTCGCCACATTCTACTACATATTATTCCAAACCACTCACACCAGTGGGCCTAAAACGTAGCCACCGTGAAGTTACCAATGTTCAATTGCCTGCCAGTACACTCATCGTCGTGCTTTCCTGTCTGTCTGTCGGCTGCCGCTGACTTTTGTCGTTATTGTTTACACATTTATACGCGTTAATTGATGTTTATGCTCATGTTGTCATACGTCACGTAGCACACAAGGACATGGTATATAGAACCATGAGCCAACCCAAAATAAACTCTGCTCAAAAATTTCGAAACAGAGCGAGATCCTTAAAAAAATGGCGACAGATATCAAATCAAAAAATTGAATAAATCAAATTAAAATAAACCAAATCAAATTATATACCTAAATAAAATAAAAATGAAATGAAATAAAATAATGTTAAAACCAAAAATTTTATCAAATATAATAAGGTTAGGTTGGAATGCTGTTGCTACGCTCAC